GGCATTTTTCATTTCAACACACTGCTTGTTTACCAAATCTTCAAAAATTTGATGCATTCTAATGCATTCAGATGATAGATAAATGTACAAACAAGTAGTAGAAGAATTTAAACACCAAAATTCGGAAACTCTCAAAAACAAAATTACGAAAACAGGGTGGGAAAAAAGATAGAGTTACCTAAATGCCCATTTTCATCATCATGACGTCCATACCAAGTAGGGGAGCAATATGTTCGTGAAACTCGGCATTTGTTTTTGTTTTAATGTGAAGAGTTAATCGATAATTAACGGGTAACCTCGAAACGGGTAAAATTTAGCTACGCCGGGTATGCTTTAATTCACCGTTATTATCTATTATATGATTCAGCCTGCAAATTTACTTACTGCTCTGAAGGGATCCGTGAGAAAAAACGTTGTTGGGTGTACGCACGAAACAATTTATATTCAGCCGAATTTCATTTGCGGAAAAATGCCAGTCTTAATTCAACAGTCTCACTCACAATATAATGTAAAAATCTAATCTTGAATACTATCATTCATAATTGTCATTTCATCGTATTAACCATGTCGGAGAATTACTGAGCTGAAAGAGGAAAGAGAGATGTTATTATTTTTGTCACAGGGATAAGCAGTGTAGCTCGAGAGAGGAGAGACGACAGAGCATATACTCCCAGTCATCTATTCAATGCATTGCCTCATTTTGCTCACATTAAATCAATTCTGAACAGATAACACTAACAGCGATAAATCGTGTACTGATAAAACTACTTATGTATGTAAGTACAATATGCCTCACCTCAGTCAGTATTGATACCCCCTTCTCTCCTCATGAAACATCATTATCATCATTATTTATCTCATGTAACGTGTATTTAAAGACTCCCTGAGCCCTGAACCTTTGATTCAATACACACACATTTCTCCCATGACAACAGAGGCATGGAATCGACGGATTGCTGACGGTTGGATATCCAATTACGCCAGTTCTCTCACGTTAGTTCTCTTGGATTTCCTATGAATGGAGAACGTAAAACAAATAAATGATCAAATTCACGAGGCTGTAAAGTTCCTGTAATATCCCTTTATCCTGAATGAAGGACGACTGATCATCTTTTACCTGCGCGAAATTTGTATCGATTTTTCTCAGTCCTCTTAAAAGTAAGTATTCTTTGAGACTCACATCCAAAAATATCTATTTTTTCTCTTGAAAAAGGGAATTAAGAGTGACATTTTTGAAACACCGGAATCGAGATAAGTGTTCTTCTAATTTTTCCACATCGTGTTCGGAATTTCACTTAGGTAATTTAATGTGAGCCACGGGAATGGACCAGTAGACAAGGCACGAATTTCAGCATTCTGATACACGTTTCATAACCATAATTTCACGTAGAACACGATGCGCACAACGAAAATTACCAAAATCAACTCCTTATGAACATATTTATTGATTCTTGATGCGTGAATTCAAAACACCCGCTCATGAAAACTCAATGCTCTACGTGACTCACATCGCGCGCTAAACGTTATCATGACAGTCTTTGCGATATAAAAATCTGGCAACCTTAATCTTGGCGCTTTGGCTCAGCTATAGCAAGTTGTTTATAGTTTGAACAGAACATGGTGGGGAATGAATATCGCTTGATTGAGAAGCTTGCTGAAACCGTTGTAGTGCACGATTTGACTCACGTAGAGCTTTGAGTTTCTTTTGAGCGGGCAGTTCAAATTCCTCGTAACCAATGTGAAATAAAAACGTTAATGAAATAAAAATGAATCGTGTTCTACTTGAAATTCTAGTCGAGAAAGATTTATTAGAATGCTTAAATTCGTACCTTGTCTAGTGGTCCATCGTCTGGTCGTCATGGAAAATACAAAGGAAAGCTTTCGGAAACCACAGTTCTTTGAATACTTTTGTGATTAAATGACCTATGCCGGCAAATTTCCATTTCAATAACGCAGCATGAAATGGTTTCTTAGATTACTCAACTTCATCCTCCATCTCAGTTATTTAGGGGTATAAGAGGATAACTGACCGATGGTTTTATCCGTACCAATATAAATCACCGATCGTGGAATGCTATAAATATCATCACCAGTAAGGGACTATCAATTTGTTATCCCCATATGGAATCACTCCTGAATACCTCCAAAACGACACATTATCTCACGGCCCGCCATATCCCATCTCGGGCCCTGGTACCAGTTTTAAGGTCCGGGCCCCAAGCACGAAGGGGGGGGGGGTCCGAGGGGCATCCCCCGAGAAATTTCAGAATTTATACGACTAATCGGACGCATTTTGAAGCTTCCGTAAAGAATTTTTCCATCAATTTCTGCGGAATAATTATGTTTTTTTTTTTCTACTTTAAGCACAAAATACTTGCGAATTGTTGCATTCAAAACATCTGGATAATTTTTATTTATTTTTTTTTTTTTGGGGGGGGCATAAGAAAGTATTTTCAGTTCTAAGAGGGCCAGGCCCCCCTGGACTCCCCCTTTGTTTGTCTATGGCAAGGGAGTTGAGCCATTGAAGTCGAGGATGCCCAGACTGGAGACTCTCAGCATCTGACGACGGAAGAAAATGAAACGCAGTTACTAAAAATATCCCTCTGTACTGAAAATCTTGAAAATAGATAGACATTTTCCAGGAAGTATACTTCTTTGAAAATTTAAGAAGAATTCTACAGTGCCCCAGCGTGTTTCTGAAAATCTATTCACCTTTTGCGAAATTTTAAGGGTAAATTTTTCACTTTTTCTTACGAAACAAGGGTTGCATGTGAATTCGTAGTGGTTTTTCACGGGTAACACGGGCCGCCTCCGGGGCCCGGGCCCCGGTACCAGGGACCCAGTATCCCTCCCCCCCTTGTGGCGGGCCTCATTATCTCAGTATCCCTAAAAGATTTGTACTCTCTGTTGCTTTGAAAAAATAATAGCATTATAGGTAAGTATAGCAAAGAAAAGAAACTAAGAAGAAAATAGGGGTTAGGACCCACGTGTAAGTATGTGACGCTTTATCATCAGAGGTTTTATTAGAGCCATATGATTGTATAAGGATGAATAGAGCACAGTGGTGTCACATTCGCAAGAGCTCCTGAAACTCTTCAACGAGCGAAAAAAATAGGAACAATTAAACCTGAAATTCGGCTTATTTTTACAACGTTTCAGGATCATATAAATTAAACTAACAAGGCATGATGGTCCAGCGGTGCAAAGTACGCAATGTGTACCAACGCTTTCGAATTGACTGCAGGCAGCCAACCTCATTAATATGTTAACTCAGATTGGAAGTGGGTGCACTCACTTCTGTAGAGAAGTAGAATAATTTTGTGGCCAATATGAGTCGGATATCGCACGTCATCGGTTACTGTTGTGTGAACATAATTATTTGCGTAAGTGCTGGCCATTTGATAGAATCTTTAAATCACCCCATCTCCCTTACTCCCGACACGAAATGGTCTGAATGGGTTTTAAACGAGTCTTTGGGCCCTTAATAGCTTTTGGATAGCATAATCGCACGATATGTATTGTATGTTCATTTTACGCTCTTGCTTAAGATTAGGATCCAATAAGGAATACTTTTATGTAACAGATGTGCAATTGAGTTACTCGTATATACCTAATGTGTAATTAATTAGGCAAAGGGGTCCTTAAGGAGGGAAAAAATGACGTGAGAAAATAGAGAGGTTGCCTTTACAGGAGTCAATGCACAAAGAGTGCTATAAATTCCAAATATTGACCCTTTGGAAAAATTTCAAAGTTAGAAAACTATATATAAAACGCTAATTTTATAAAAAACACAGATGAAGTTTCTCAGTGTTTCTGTTAGCTTTATAAAAGAATCAATTCATATGCGTACAGTATCATTGATAATGCTAATTCTGCCTCGACACGTTGACACATAGTATTAAAAATCGTTTAGTTCCGAAAACTAAAAAATAAAACTTATTTTGGTCCTCAAATTAATATTTTCGTTATGCATCGAAACATTTGATATTATCGGTTTCATTCAATTAGACGAAACTCACAATCAGTATTATCGATTTAGGGGAATCGACATTGGCCACGTTAGATGATGGTTCAAATATGTTGAAATTTTGCCTGCAGGCTGTCACTACCATCGAAACTCGTCTAGAGAGGACAACCATTAGTCCAAATGCATATTACAACATCACTCATAAACTGTACTTCGAGGTAGAGCAAGATGGTAAAGAGCTTGGAAACATCATTTTCGGGTTGTATGCTGGAGCAGTGCCAAAAACTGTGTCTAACTTCCGACAGATAGCATTAATGGGTATAACTGAAGATTTGTCCTACATGGGATCTAGATTTTACAAAATTGTACCAGGAGTCAAAATTCAAGGTATTCTATTTTTATTTAACATTTCAACAAAGTAAGAGCGGCAATAAGACCCTCTTAATTTTGAGGGTAGCTAGAGAAATTCTGTGGTGGGAGGAGAGAGGCCCAAGCTTATTTGCGCTTTGGGGGGGGGGGGGTTTCTAATGGTATATGTATAGTAAAGTGACTGCTTTGGTGGCGTGGCATCCATTTAAGCAAGGAAAGCACTGTTTCCTCCATCTGCTTTCAATAGATCGTGTAAGTGCCACTAATTTAAAAAATATAATAACACAGAAAAGAGAATTGAGTGAAATGTTTTTTAACAAAAATGAAGTTTTAGTTATTTCACCTGCACTAGTCTCTGAGAACAGCATTAGAATCCAGAGTTCACTTTTTTCATCTCAACGTGTAAAGTTTACTGGTGTCATAAAGTGGACGGCACCCAGAAGCGCAAACTCTGTAGAAATGATAAATGCATCCAATAGCGCAAAGGGAGAGTTTTGAGATTCATCCCAAAAGCGCAAAATCATAAATCAAGGAAAACTTAAGAAGAAACATATTTACGATTTTTCTTATCGCCTTAGATAGGATTTTATGCGAGGAACAGCATTGCAGGCCAGCACTCGAGGATTGCTCCTTAAAAATTTCGTACTTAAACGTTAGAAATATTTGTATAAAAGGAGGGAAAATCCAAATAAAGGACGACTCGTTTTTGTACGTTGAGGAAAACTGTAAAAATCTTGCAAAGATACGTACATTTTTGGTGATTTCGAGGACCGGCTACTTTGTAATACGTTTAAACAAAGATTGCAGTTTTTTGGAAAATTGACAATGCATGACGCGACAAAAGTCAGCGATAGTTTACTTCATCGGTAAAATAGAGGACACTGAAATTAAGTTGAGGCGTAAGAGGAAGCAAAATCGGCATCACCGTACAAATTTCATTACAACGCCTGCATGCAACTATTCGAACTCCGCAGATGTCCGCACTGCATACGCCCGCAGTTGAAGGCGTTTTGGTTCTCCGAGCACACACCGCTTCATTCGCAGTGCGGCGGCGCGATGGCGCGGCGGGCTGTAAATGCTGTAATGCGAGGATCCAAAATCACAGCGCACTTTCAATTCTTAGTTTATACTAAATCTTTTTAACCCGCAGTTTGGACGCAATCATCGTCAGAGTGTTGTTAGTTTGCCAACACCAGTTTGTCACATGTTACTATGATTGCAATGAATTAAGTCTTGTTGACACATAGTTTCAAAATATGTTTTAGCTTAATTATTCCTGTCAAAATAATTGTTCATTTTATTATGCATCCCAATGAAAGATGAAGGAATTTAAAGTATTTAAAAAATACATTTTTCCATTTTCAAAAGGTGGAGATATAATAAATAATGATGGCTCTGGACAAACAAGTATTTGGAGGCGACTCTTTGAGGATGAGAACTTTCTTATAAAACATTCTGAACCTGGAATAGTTAGCATGGTCAACAATGGTGAGCATAAAAAGATTTATTAGTTCGTGGCTTAGAAATTCGAAAGGCGAAAATAGATGTCATTGTAGATACCCTTTGATAGGATTAGACATAAGAGCAGGGCCTTTGGGAAGCAATGAAAATTGTTTAGTCCAGCGGTGAAACCAATTTGGGTTATAAAAAAATCCACTTCCAGTTTTCGATGCCAAGCGCTCTATAAGCTCCAACTTTGACATGTCCTTAAAAGTTCAATTTTCTTAATTATGTCTGTTCTTTGCGCAAAATTTTGAAGAATATGACTTATCTGAGCTGAATTTTACTGAGGTGCCTCATTTAATTTTTCCCCACCGCAAGGGCCGTTTTGCTTTTAACACCCTTATTAATACACAAATTCAGCCATAAGGAAATAAACCTGTTCCGGATTTTACCATTTATGAAGTTCACTATGGTTATTTCATTTGCTTATGAATAAGAAAATAAGAATCAAATATTATTCATACTTTTTGAAGTCTCTCTCTCTCTCTCTTTCATTGTTTTCAGGTTCGAATACAAACGGGTGTCAATTTTTCATTACCTTGAAAGCATGCCCGTCCTTTGATGGGGTTCATGTAGCATTCGGCAAGGTACGTTATCAATCTCAGCTTTTACAATAATACCAACTACTATCTAAATTAGCAGGCAGCAAGAAAACGACAAAACTTATTGCTGTCGTTAATCATATAATTTTTTAGGATCTCAATTCGATGTAATTATTAGTGGAAGGAAGAAGTAGGTACTAAGCGGTACTCGTTAATATACACTGAAATCTAAAACATGCAGAGATCTGCTCAGAAATTAATGCGTTGTGACAAAACAAATTGTTTGGAAATCTCTGTTCAAAATGTACTCATGGGGGAGGAGGGAACGTAAAAAGATTCCATAAAATCGAGGGTGGAATAAGCTCAAGACAGTTAAGGTTACACAGGGGGCACCTACGAAATTGGATGAGATGGGGCAGTTATTTTACCAATAAATATTCGCAGAAATCAATCCAAGGCGACATTTGGGGTAGTGGTAGTAAGGAGTTTTAATCTCTGCAGATGTGGCTTTCCTCGCATGATGTTTTTTTGGAGTAATATTATGCAAAAAAAAAAAAAAAAAAAAAAAAAAAAAAAAACTTAACAACATGAGAACTTGGGATTAAAATCTCAATATCTGTTTCTTGCTGAATCGTGTTTTTCCACCGCCGCAAGTTGAGTCTTCTGTTTACAGTTGCAGTTCATATAGGCATAAAGTTAGCCCTGACCGGTTTCCATACTCTAATCCTAAAACCCGATCCACCCTTTAAACAGACGAGTTCTTTTTTAAATCTCTTAATGAAGACGGACTTTTTCCGCATAGATGCGCCAAATTATTGTTCATGCATGGCCATTTTCTCCCTCTTCCAACAAAATATATGTAACAAAACTCTCCTGCTTGTTTTACAGATTGTCAAAGGAATGGATGTAGTATACCAGATTGCCAAATCAGAAATAAATGAGAAAGGGGAACCCCTAAAGCCGGTGGAAGTCACAAGGGTCGGCGAGCTTCCTGTCGTTGCAACTGATCATCCCTTTTACAGTTGGGTGCAAACTGATTTTTAGACGTACGATTATTCATCGCACCGAGAATTATTGAGATTCGAAATATTTTGTACACATCAACCGTTACTCAACTGATCATGTTATTCCTTTTTGCCCTGTCAATATCTTATCGACTGTAAGTGGCAGGAGCCATGATGTATGATGCTGAATAGTGAAGAACTTTAGTAAAAAAAGGGGGATCAAAATAAAATGTTTCAAAACTCTTGAGAAAGTTGTCGAGTGATGAGCTGAACGGAATAAAACGGTACTAAAAGGGGAACCATATCAAGTTGACGGAGTTTCAAACCCTTTATGAACAAGGATTAAATAAATAAAAACCAACCTCTTCTCCAGACATTGGTACTAGTACATCAATTCAAGCATTTATTATTTACCTGGTGGATGTAGGTGCTCAATCTATTTTGAGACGTTTATGGTATTGTATTTAATTACCAGCCCATCACAAAAACTACTTTATTAATTTAGGTTGATTATCATGTCCCGTGATAGTAAATCCTTTATTATTTACATTTTTTTATCTTGAGTCCGTGAGTCCTTTTTTTTATCTTAACCACCACCAGTACCATCACCACCGCCACCATCACCACTAAATGTGTTTTTTGAGTATTCCTAATCACTGTCTAGAATTTAGATATTTGCTCAACCAGACGCTTTCTAAAAGGGAGCGCAGAGGTCCTTGATAGGTACCTGACAAATGAAAAAGGGTAAACAATGAGAGAAAAGTACTTGACATCATTTATGAACCGGCCTCTTGGATAAAATTACAGGACGACTTCGAGCCTGGGCGATAGAAAGTAAAACGCCTTCATTTTTTCGCATTTGCAACATGGGCATCCACGGAGCACGAATAGTTGTATCCAGGCGTTATTATCAACGTCGCGTCACGGCTGCGGCGGGCCGCTGTCGCATCTGTCCTCTTGCTGGGTGGCTGGCTTATTGGTGGTTGAATACCAGGATCACGCTGAGAGAGAGAGATGTGATTTATCTTTGCTCTTATAAGAATATTCTCAAAAAATTTGTAGGAATAATGTTAAGTAAGTAATAATCTTTAAATAATATTAGGAAATTTTTAAACATTGTGATAAGGATCCGTGTTCGACGTTCAATTTCAATGATCACATATACCATGAATTGTTTTCAAATTGCATGAATGTAGACCCGTCGAGCAGGGCATTTCTTAAATGTACTGCATTTCGCAATTTGGAACTATAAATTCCGGCCCGGTTTAAAAACAACTTATGTGCCATTAGTTTCCCTATTCACATACGTGTTTGTTCAGATGTGCCAGAATTTATAGCTCCAAATTGCAGAATGCAGTCCAAGTGGTCTTCGTATGATCATAGGAGTGTTGACAACAGGGCCGGATTTAGGGGGTGGTCACATATACCGCGGTCCATGGTGGCAAATAGACTTTTTAAAACCGGAAAACTTGTGAAAATTTTCCGTCCAATTTTTCAGAGAATTTTCCTCGCAATGTGATCTAATGTATCAGAAGATTTCAAGTAGGAATATTCATTATTTGTCTTAAAAATCAATATTTTCGAAGGGGACATTTGGCAACTCTCGGATGTTTATACGGCGTTTCTCCTTAGCACGGCAGTGTTGCTCCCTCACAATTGTCCATAAGGAATTGTTGAATTCCCGAGAGTAAAAGCTTCCACCTGTCGTCAAGAGGTCAGTGGAGGGTCTATTGTCTCTGGCCGCACCCATAAAAAGTTTGTTAGAGGGTTCAAACCTGATGTGAAGCCAAAATTAGTTCCACCGTGGATCATGTAAAGGCAGAGTGTGGCGTTGCGATTGAGAATATCCGTCAAAGTTTCGACGATGGCATCGGCTTCTTTTGCCAAATATTTGAATATTTTTCCGTAACATTTTCAGACTATTTATATCAAATCGTCGGTTGGCTGACATAAGGGCGTAACTACACATTGAGATGATCCCGGAAAAGCATCGATATGTATGGAAGACAGGGTTCATTACAGAGTGTAGTTACACCCTTATGTCAGGAAGGCGACAAAATTACGAGGAAAATTCTTTGAAAAATTGGAAGAAACATATCTACGAATTTCCCCGAAAACTTCTGATTTATCCAAGGTTTGGCAACGGCTGAGGGTTTACACGACGTTTTGCCTTAGCACGGCAGCGTTGTCCTTCGTGACAACTGAGATTCGTGTTTTGGTGAGGTGTGACTGACTATGCCCCGCCCCTCCTTTTCCAAGTTTTTCCCCCAACGCGACGGGTATTTTGTCATCACCTCTTCGTCAACACCCAGACTCTTATCTCTCCTTTACTGCCGATTTCCTTTTCATCCGAGACTCTTTGAGAGAATTTCCTCCGATGCCGCCGACCGGTCGCCAAACGGCCACACAGGGATTCTGTCGAGCGGATGTTCGGCATATCTGGCCACCCCTCCCCCCCCCCCCCGCCACCACCACCTCCTTACCAGGGACTGATCGGAGACGTTACGTGAAACGTCTAAGGCAGTCTAGTGGGTGAAATCGGAGGTGACGGTTCAGACCTCTACAGTGGCTTGAGATTTTAAGGAACTAATTTTTCTGTCAAGTTCGGTAGATCCTCGCTGTTATAATTTTGAAACGCTACTTATTCTGTCCAAATTCCACAGTTTGTTGAGTTTCTTCAAAGTTGAAAGTAAATGTCACTCGTATTCGTCGTCATTGAATGCGCTTTCGGTTGCTCGTTTTCCGTGATACTGAAATGATATTTGGTTCGAGGATGGCATTTTGGAAGTCAGTTTGTTTGTATGTAAATCACTCCGTGTTTCTGGTAAGTCGGTTGCTCATATCATCAAAAATTGACCCGTGTTGGGTGCAGAAAGGGTATTCCTTGGTTGCGGTACTTTAGAATCTCCATTGTTAGTTTATATTTAAGAGAGGAAACTATTGAGAGAATTCTCTAAAATTTTTAGTTTTCAGCATTGTAAAATTGTAAAAGTAATCTAATAAAAATTTTAATGAATTTCTTACGTTTCCTTTAGTTATAGTGGCTGAAGTGTTAGGTAACACAGGCCCTGAGACATCGCAACCAAGAAATGCCCTTTTTTCACCTAATGCTTCAATTTTCCTTTTCAGTAAAGAAATGTTTTTACGCACAGAATCGCCTGACTGAAGAAGGGGCGATTGTTTCTTCTGATTTCCTCGAGATTTTTTCTTTAATCCTGAAAGTTTCGCAATCGGTGGCGTTACTGTTTTGTCACTGTATGAGTTATCGACAAACTTTTTTCGTGATACTTTTATGATATTTGATTCGGGGATATCGTTTTGATAGTAATTTATATTCTTACCTGTACTCCCTTAATGTTCATTTGATACGTCAATTGTCTGAATCGCAAAATACCTTAAAGATTTACAACTAGATGTGACCATCTACAACCTCTGACTTATGAAGCTTGAAAGATGGGGTGGGGAGGGGGTCTTTTGATTTTTCCTTTTCCAATCTTATGGGATGATACAGTAATTTGTTGAATTTTTTAATTTGAGATTCGTTTTGATTTTCTTCGACAATTTTTAAAGCTCAGACTCTAAAGGCCCTTTTCAGGAAGATCGCAGTGTTTTGATGAAGAACGACCCTTTAGAAAAAATCGCCTTTAACTCTCAGCAAAAAATTATTGGCGGCTAAACCGCAAAAAATTGCAGTTTCATTGCCTTAAATAGCAACATTATTTCGATATTTTCGTTGCTGTAAGCTACTTGGGAATATTACACACCCACTTTCCAAATTTTCCGTAAAGCCGTTAATAGCCTGTGACGCTGAATGTCTTAAAATATATTAACTAACTACATTAAACGATTTACAATAATATTAAGTTGGATTCATCTCTTAAGGCATTTAATTATTTCTTTTACAGTAAATATTTTCTGGTTTTGGCAACATTTGACAAAGCGGTGCTGGAAGAGTGAAAATGTTTACTTAGCATCAGAGCTGTTCCTGACTTTACAGATCATCCCTTCATCACGGTGAGATCTTCCTTACTCTTTCCTGCCTCCATAGAATTAATCATGAATGGGTAGACCATTGTCGATTTTTTTCAATTTTTGAAGTGAGCTGTCGAAGTATTCTTTCTCAAAGGCCGTCCATGAATTACGTAACACACTTTTTTTCGGCATTTTTAACCCTCTCCCCTCTTGTGACGCTTTGGTGACGTACCTACCTTTCCTTTAACACGTGAAAAAAAATGGCCTAACGCTCTCCTCCACAACCCCCCCCTCCCCCCCAATACTGCCGTGCTAAGGAAGAACGCCGTATGAACATTCGAGGGTTGTCACATTTCCTTCGGCAAAAATTTTTATTTTTAAAGAGAGTTATGAATATTTTCTCGGCAAATTGTCAGAAAATTTAGAGCTTTTCGCGATTAATATTCTCCGAAAAATTTGAAGAATAATGTTCACGGATTGCCCTGAAGAATTGTATTTCATCAAAGAAAATTAGGCAACGTCTGAGGGCTCATACGGCGCGGCATTCTTACGTAGCATGACACTAGCGGTACGTATTTGATGGACGGCCCCTCACCGCTGATTGTCGCAGTCGTCATTTTTCATGTAAAATCAGCCTAACTGTATTTCACGTTGTCTAGTTCCCTCTGATATAGACTGTTTTTGAAATACCGAAAACAGACTGTTTTTGAAATACCGAAAACAGACTGTTTTTGAAATACCGAAAACCAAGGAGTATATATAGCCTTGAAACTTTCTGAGGGATAATTTTTTTTAGATTCTGCCGAATAAATGTACACTCACTGAATTCAACGGCAGGATTCAGCTCTATTTTTGTCAAATATAATATGAAGACGCAGCCCCTTTTGAATTACGTGATGCTGGCCTCACCTCCCCCCCCCCTCCAATTTTCAAAATATCAGGAAACTCTGAGAAAGCATCTTGAAAAAAATTCGGGTTTTTTGGAGATATTTCGCTGAAATATAACGGCAAGAGATCAACAGAGGTGTGAAGAAAGGGTCTCGCGTAGAAAATATTCATTCGGGAAGGGCGGGATTTTCAAATATCTGCACGTTGTTTTTAAAGTCCCCCCCCCCCCCGGCTCGAATTTGTCATGTAACGCTGAGCTTGACCCTTCCCCCATGTAACGCAAGGTTACGCTGGCTTAACCCCCCCCCTCCTCCCCCCTAAGTTTGTTACGTAATTCATAAATGGCCCCTAAAGTATTCCATGGTAGTGTCCCGCGCTTAAAGATTTTGGGGTTGCGAGTTTTTACAGATTTTGTTGAGGCCACCCGTGCTGTAAAATAGGTTGTCTCTAGGTTCTTTCCAGCCTCCCCCTCCCCCTTTATGTCGCAACGCTGGCCAGTTGGAAAAATCAGGTCCTTTTTTCCGTCTGATCGCGTCGGTGTCGTCTAAAAGACAGTCGGACAGCTTGTTTTGCGTATAGGAAATCTAGATAGACGACAGAGTCTAGACAGGGTAACAATGGAACTGGCCTGAAACGGCAGGTGGAGCAGCCAAAATTGGTTTCTCGAAACTTCGAAACGGTTACAGAGAGAGCGACAAAGAGACTTATCGGTTTCCCGTCGGAAGAAGTGTATCTGAAACGGCAAGGGTAGGAAGGCCGGGCCCCCACACACACGCACACGTTTTTTGCCGGACCAGAAGTCTCTGCGGTGCGGTGGTGGTTTCAGACCGTTCAAATACACGTGCGGACTCCCCCCCCCTCCCCTTTGCAAAGACGCCCAGCCTATGTCATTTTCCTTTGCCGGTTGTCCGTCTAGTTCAGAGATTGCTTCCCACTTGCGCGCAGTGTCCGTCCGGCGGCAAGTAGCCTCGCTTAAAATCTTTATTCCATTCATTATAGTGTCGAAACGTTTCTTCTACGGTTGTGCTGCTCCTCTTGTAGTGCTCGTCAATTTTTTTCGAGGAAATTTCAAGATATCGTGTGTAAATCCTCGCTGAATGTAATCGTGATGAGAGGAGGCATTTTCTTTGTAACAAATTCGCGATCTGATCAGTTCACCCATGTGTTAAAATCTCGATTGCACCGCGCGCGCCGGCCGTCTGTGAGTTTTGTAAACTTTCAGGTGCATTTTCGAAGGCTCCGTTTGCGTTCGTGAAATTCATAAGTGACTACATGTGCCTGCCCTCTCCTAATCGTGAAAAATTAGCAGCTTCAGCTATACCTAAAGCCGAGTGAGTTTGTCTAAATTCATTTTTTCTATGAACCGTCGGGTTGGCGGACAGTTGGCTTGTGTTTTTTATTTTGTCCGCCTAATATGGAACTTCAATATTTTATTTACTACTTTATTTTTTCTCCAAGTTTTGAATCAATGCATAATTTCGCAATAATTAAAATATTCATAGGGTGTAAGCATTTAAATGCTCAAATCGGGAAATACCTAAGGTGTATACTGTTTCAACTAGAAACCTGCCCCTAAGTATTTATGCAAAAATTGAACCGTTCTGGGGGCGATAAGTCAAATTTTGCTGATTTCCTATTCAAGACAATTGATTGCGGGTGGAAATCATTTTTTTTTTTTTTCTTTCTAATATTTCGCATTCTGCAGAGGTAATGTAGGTATGAGAGAAGTATCCTAAGAGTAAAATTAAAATGAATTTATTCACTTGTTCCTGCATCATGAATTTGGCTTCTACCGACAAAATTTCCACCACCAATCTCCCCCTGCGCTATCCAAGTCCTCGTATGTTTACTGTCCGTTGACTCTCCCCTTCTTCGTCAATTTGCCCCCCCCCCCCCCCCCCACGAAAGGACGTAACTCCATTTCAAGGTTGCCAAATTTCTCCTCGCGAATTGCATATTAACAAGGAAAATGTTGGGCAGTTCTAACCGAAAATTTCACCGATTATTCCTCGGATTTAATGCGAAATTCAGAAAACTTTTGACGAAAAGTTGCTCAGGTACATTTTAGTAAAATAAATTAATTGTTTGAAACAATTTGGCAACCTTGGAATGGAGTTACTTTCCTTCGTCCGAACGACGACGAATTGGATTGCCTCTCATGAAGGAGTAAAATCATGGATGTTTTTAAGCATTTATTTGAAGTAGCATTTCAGCCAAAAAATTAAGTATGACAGAAAATCTGCAACGTCGCCAGCCGAGCCACGCGATTTGTGTGTTAGCGCCGTCGACATGAGGTCGATTCTCCATCAATTGAAATGTTTGCCCCTTCATTGGCCTCGATATAACCCGTGCGGTATGAAGCATGCGACTTGTTGAGCTTCTGCGTGTGCTGTGGTATCACTCAAAATTGAAGGCACTTTTTCATTCTTGGAGCCTATCGTTGCGTCGCGCGTCGTCGCGTTGCGCTGAATGTCCGTCAGTCGTCATGCCGGACTTTAACTTTTCATTGGATTTTCTCCCGCAAGTTTTACGCGGTCAGTGGAGAAAAGGTTCAGCTCAAGGCAGTTTTGCGCCCGTTTCCTACAAGGGGAGAGGAATAAATACGCCTGCCAAAATGCCTTCCGTAATATTCGAACGGCCCCTCTTGTTTTCTGAGTTGAATTTTCCGATTTGTTTAAACTTTCTTTCATAGTCGATGCCACTATGGGATCAGCAACTGTTTCTCTCATTCAGCGAAAAACTATTTGCCTTTGGACATGTCAATAGACTGATGTAGTGGTTACTTCATAGTTCAATTGTAAACATACACGCAACCTTCACTGGAAAAAAAAGACTCTTGGATCTGGTGTCAAGACTCAAAAAAAATTTGACAAGAAAATATACTGTTGATTCAATCGGATTTTTGCTTGAATTAAAAAGAAATCCGCTTAAATTAAGAGGCTGACCCTTATTCAAGCAAAAATCTGATGGAATCAAGAGTAGTTCTTCTTGTCAAAAATTTTAAGAGTCTGGATTCAAGATCCAAGAGACTTTTTTTTCCAGTGTTGCCTTTGATTTGCGTCGTTCGCGTCATGGTGGTCAAATGCACTTATGTGTTTCTTACGAGCTAAATTTTGCCCTAAATGAGTCCTTAATTGATTTAGGGTCTAACAATGGCTAAACTGTAATGAATTAACGCACGATGAATTTGCACGTGGGGCTACGTTAGGTCACATTCTTTCTGGTTTGAACCAATACTTTGATATTATGTATATCAAATGACGTAATCACAAAATCAGTCATTCTGGCCATTCAAAGAGGACAATTTTTAAGAAGATTCTCCCCATAAATTTCTTACAGGGGAGGGCCGGCCGGGAGGCATTCGGTTTATTTTATGGTGTCAAATATCATGCTCATAATCAGTTAGAACTCATGGCGCTTGTGATATTTCGAAATTCTGATCTATAGATTATGCAATGCAAACCTCTAAAGATCTAGATTTTCAGCAAATTCCGGCATTGATGGAAACAATTCTCTTCAAGTTCCCTCCACGGGTGCAGAATGTTCAGTAACTAACGACCAATCGGTCGTTCGCGAACTGCGTAGGCAGTGTGAAAATTGCGTGGGCTACAACCTTGGATAGTAGATTATATAAAATGTATTACTTTTTGATGGAAATGCGCTCCATTTTTGTGCGCACCTTCCGAACTTGTGTAGGCGCGCTGCCTTACGGATTTCCAAGTAGCGTGCGCATTTCGGAACTTACAATGGGCAAGTTGCGCTGGTGACAGCCCAGATAAGACATAATATTTTTTCAATATTGGGCAAATATTGTCAGTACTGTCGCAATATTTACACAATACTGACAATATTTTGATAATATTATAATCAAAATTATTTTTTTAGAAAATATTTAAAGAATCATCATTTAGTATTTTTAAAAATAATATGTTTACCCAAAACATCATAAAAATATTTTCAAAATATTTGTATTTCAATACTGTAAAAATTTATATCGTGAGAGTATTTTTAAAATATCAGTACATATAATATTTATATTCAAAATATTTATTATATATTTTAAAAACATTTTAAAAGACAGTATTGGTAAGTATTTTCAAAATATTTTTAAAATATTTTAAACAATAATACTGCTATTCAAAATATTTTTAAAA